ATTATGTATGGCTGATTGCTGTTGATGTGACGTGATCGCTGAGCTGAGTTAGGTGATTGCTGATCGCTGTTGATGTGACATGATCGCAGCGATGAGTTATGTGACCACCGACCACCGTTGACGTGACATGATCGATCTGGTAAGTTTTGTGGCGGCGGGTCGCTGTTGATGTGACATGATCGCTGTGATGAATTACGTGATAGCTGACCGCTGCCGATGTGATGTGATCGTCGCGCTGCTGACTGCTTGTTCTTTGCTACCGACGTTCACGCCGGCCCCCCGCTCGTCGCAGCTCCCGCCTCACATACGTGGAGCGCTGCGACGAGTACATCCGCAGCCTGGACTACGAGGCGCCGCTGCACGTGCCGGAACACGCACCGCCGGCGTCCTGGCCGCAGCGCGGCGGCGTGGAGCTGCGGGGCGTGTGCCTCCGCTACCGGCCTGAGCTGCCCAGAGTGCTGCACGACATTAGTCTGCAAGTGCAGCCCGGCGAGAAGGTCGGCGTTGTCGGACGCACGGGCGCAGGTGCGACACGAGGCGAGGCGGGCTCGGGCCAGAGCGTGTGGCGTGTTGGTGGGCGTACGCAGCCCTGGGAAGGTCTTTCTTGGACTCGACAATATCGTTAGATCCGTGCCGTTATGTAGGAAGTCAACCATGCGCTGTGCATGAAGCCGTGATGGAGATTTCCGTAGCCGCAGGTGGCGAGGCCAACGATAGAAGGGATGTACGATGTCGAGATATTCCATGTTTCAACGGAGGCTTGTTGAGTGTGATGCACACATGCTCTGTAGCTATGCTATGTAGCATGAGATGCTCAAGCTGGGGAAGGACCCCATGATAAACCCCTCATGGCGACTCAAAGTAGACGCAAGGTCTTTCCAGAACCTTGGGAGAGAGATAAAGAAGGAATAGGATTAACATGTTTTGTTTGTAGGTTTTATTGCAATGCCTGCACCAGCAATCCGTTTTCTTATGTGTCTTCAGATGCTAACAAGCGCTTACGCGCTTGCTTCGCTGCGCTGGTGTAAAATTTGACAATTTTTATCATGTATCTTTTGCAGTTGGAATCACGGTTTTAGGTGCCCTGGTTGCCAAAATATCGCGTATAGTGTGAAAAAGACTCGGCCGCAGGCCGCACGCGGTACTGGCGGTTCCTGGCGTCCGCTGGCAGGAGAGAGCGCATTTCCCCGCGCTCTCTGCAACACAGCCGAACTTATTCCATGGGATGAGCGAATAGTCGTGGGGTATGGCTCGTGGTTTTTGCCCCTTCCGTCAACTGTCAGCCTTTTGAATGATGACAGCACTGCCGTTGTATTATATACTGCCGGGCGGGATGAGTGTCCCAACCGCCAAGTGGATGGAGAGGTTCAAAACCATGCAGTCGACCTTCTGCACCCGTCACCATTTCGAACCGGACCGACTCTCCTGCTGACCGAGAGTCATCGAGTCGATGGTAGCGACCGTGTGCGCGGAGCCAGGTCCCCTGGATGTCCGGGTGGTTCACAGGTTTGTTCGGCTGCGCACGTCCATCCGGCTCAGCTTTCTGAACCGAATGCGCCAAAAGAAAGCTCTGCCGTACGGCGAGAGGCTGAAGAGGCGTCAGTTTGCAAGGTGCGCGGTGGCGCAGCTGCACCGGAGGAGGTGGCCCGTGATCTACTACAACGGAGGAGGCTGCCCGTAATCTGATTGAGCTGCACCGGAGGAGGCTGCCCGTGATCTGACACAAGCGGACACAAAGCAACAAGACGCAGGGTCTCGACGCTCATGCGGCTCCCGCTGGGCGCGTTTCATTGTAATGGACTGGGTTCGTTCCACTGTGACGGAGTTGGTGCGGACCAGTGTGGCGGCCCCTGCGTGACTGATCTCGGCCTTGCCGGCAGGTGGTCGAGCTAGACACGCCGCTGGCGCTGATGGAGAACGAGAACTCGCTGTTCCGCCAGATGATGGGCCACGCCGGCTTCACCACCGTTGAACAGCTGCTCGAGCTGCAGAGCAACAGACGGTAGACGACGCTGACTCGCAGACTGCCAGCTCTGTTCTTTCGCTGTCAGGGGAGGCCGTCCGTTACGCTGTCACTCAATGAGATGTACGCCTCTTGTTGGGAAATCGTTTGGAAACCGTCCACGGCGCTGTAATGGGCCGTTACTCGAATGATAATCTCGCTGGCGGTGTAATGTGTGTTTACCGGCACGGGCGCGTGCGGAGTGAAGCCGACTGGCTCGGCCTCACGTGCGTCCGGCTCTGTTTTCTTCTCCAGTTAGTCGAGACAGCTTGGAAGTTCCGAGTATCTGCTGTGTGCACACGTAAACATGCCGCACGCATGCACCTAGTACATCGCCGGTAACGCTGCGATGATTGCGGCGTGGTGTGATGACCAAGATAAGCAAGATAGCCAAGGTCAGTGACCGGTATCAACGTTGTGCCGGCGTCTCTCGTTTCGTCCGAATTCCTTGCTCACTTTGTAGAAATGAAGTCACACTATGTGCCTCGCAACGTTCCTGTCAACTGTCAGCGCTTAATCAACTAACTGCTTCTTCGAAATAAATGACCGTGTTTGTTCAGTTGGAATTGAATCGGCGGATAGAGACCAGCAGCCGATGATGTTCTGGTTGGCCATCTGACCGAGAGATGGCGCGAGAGTAGCCCAGGCAGCGCCATACCGGCAGGCAGGGGCTCGTTCTTCATTGGTAAAGGAAAATAAATTTCCAATATGGGATAAGAACATTCACCGATGAAGTGACCTGTTGAGATGTCACGTGGAAGATCGTTGGTTACTCTGCCAGGATGGAAAAAGGTGTGGAATTATTACTCATGCATACAAGACTGCAAGCGGTGCATTTGCAGCGCACCTTCACCCCAGTAGAGCAATCGCGGTCTCACTACAATATAAATGCAAGTAATGCCACAGTAGCACTGGCGTAGAAAATGAGTTTGCACGCTGTAGGCTTCGGCTGTGGTCCATTGGCACGCGGTGTAGTAATACCTTCGGTTACTCGCGGGGCTGAGCGGGGTTTGCTGCGAACGAGGGCGGATCTCAGCTGTCTGTGGTAGGCAACAGAAAGCGCATTTCACTGCGCCCTCTCCATTCATCGCCTGCTCGGTCTTGACATTGTATTTCACAAGCATCAAATCCAGAATGATTAGGCGTTCGCCGGGCTCTCCTCAGACTGTTTCCGTTTATACCCGGACTTGTTTCCTCTCGGACTGGGCTTCATCTGCCCTAATTTGCATACCTATCAGTTTACCCTGAAGCCCGGCCATGCCGTCCATCTCACCGAGAAAAGCTGGGCTTGTCGGCTGTGAGCCGGCTTAGTGCCGAACTAGCGGGGGTCCGCCAGAGCGCCCGCACAAACCCCGTTGAAGGGTCCCTGTGGGGGCTTGTTGGCGGAGGTCTCACACGAAGACAGCATGGCGAGGCTCCTGATCACTCTCTTAAGTGGCGTAACTCCTTTTTTAACTAAGAACCGGGAAAAACGCGATTACGCCGCTGCATCTTCTCAATCCCACAGTCCTCAATTGGGATTGCCATTACTGGCCGAAAAGACTCTATTTCCCCCCTCTCCAATACAATCGGGCAGTTGGCCTGCACATCAGTTCGTGCATGCCTGAGCATGCCCAGGAAAGCTGGAAGCCCGAGTGCCAGTCCGTGTGAGTGAGTGAGAGTCCGACCGTTCTTATTTCCGCCTCGGTGCTCCGCATCGAGAGCGGCTCACTGAGCTTCAGCTGACGCAGTCTCCCTCGTTACTGGCTCCTTTCGCGTTTCCTTTCATTTGAGTCCGAATATGCGGTATGTGGCTTATAAAGTCAAAGGTATAAAGTCTAACATGACGCCTATGAAGTCAAAGGTGGCAAGACCGAAATTCGGCAGAACATTAACGCATCCTAATGGGGCAACATGACGCATTTCCTGCCCTTGCCCCGCACAGTTGACCAAATGGGCCCCAACATCCGTAGCTTTGAAGGCGCTCAGAGCAGTAGTGTGTATGGTTTAAACCCGCCTCGGCCGAGCGCTTAGCATTAGGACCACGAACAAAGCGAGCGTCAGCGGCTGCTTTCCTGTTTCCAGTCAGATTCTATGCAAGAGGAGAACACAGCGGATCACGGCTTTACCGATACCCTCGGCGTGCACCCCTCTCCTCGTGCATACATTAGAAACTGCATAACCTCGTGCATATGTCCGTCCCGGTGGCTCAGTTGGTTAGAGCGCCTGCCTCCCGATTCACCCACCCGTGGCGGGGTGGGTTCGAGTCGCTTTAGGCGCCCGCTATTTGTCCTTGACAGGTATGGCCTGCGGCCGGTGGCAGCGGTCGCACTAAAGGTCAGTTGACGTCAGAGGGCAGGACGGACCGTGCCGAGCATTGCGGCACGTTAAGCTCTCGCCACTAAATTCTGCCGTTGCCTGGAATTGCGCGATCGGATGGTAGGGTTCAGGGCTCACACAACAAGCACTGCTTAGCGTGAGCGCTGATCCCAGAAATCCATCCATTCAAAGGATTCGGATCAAATTTCTAAAAATAAAAATAAAAAACTGGCTGCTGGGAGAAGCCAGGGTGAGACAACCCAGGACAGGCGTTAAGGGCACAATTTTACCCTAACTTATAGACCATTTGGCACTGTTTGAGGAGCGCCAAAGTTCGCGTCTCTCGGAGGGGTGCCGCACGTGGCCCTGATGCGGTTAGTGAAGTGCTTTATGGGTGATAGCTTTTATCGTGAGAAATGGCTTATTATGACAGACGAGAGGTTTCTTTGATGACCTAATGGTCTCATCGTTTTTCCAGTTTCAAAATTTGATGAGATGCATGATTAGCAATTTTGTCATAATCATGAACACTAGTTTTTGCTTTGCACTCAAACGAATCAAGCGCGAGAGATGTCCGTAGAGACTTATTTGTGACGTCATAAGCTGCTTCACTGGAAACCAATCACAGGCATTCATTTCTAAGCCCTTCGACAAGGGTATCTTTCACACCTTAATAAACTCACCTTGCATCCAGTTGTCCTCCGCACCCCGCGCCCGTTCCTTGCGCCCCAGGTTTTTTTCCACCTGGGGTGATTTGGTGTGTGAGGTTGGGTTTCGTCAATTTCCGTCCGACCTTTTTTCTTGATTGATAATAACATCAGGGTTATCATCAGTACATGGGGTGTCCGTTAGCTATTATTGTTGTAGATGGTTGGAAATGAAGGATGAAAAGGTTCCTCTGAAGACGATATTGCAAAACTTTATTAATCATGTTGAAGATCTGGAAATGCGCTTAAAAGAGAATGAAGATCTTTATGAAAGTGAATTTCAGGTGAGGTCTTGTTTGTTATACATGTCCCGGTGTTACCACTGTGATGTAATCTATTGGGTTTACCCTTATGAAGTTTGTCAGATTTGCCTTAAAAACTTTATGCTAGGTGTTTCAGCTTTGTATGTAAATGTGATTTTCTTCTCTATTATTCTGTGATAAACACAGCATTGTCTTGGTGATTTTGTTCTTGGGTGGGCCACATCCCTTCTGGAAGGCCCGCAAAACATTGGAGTAAACCACTGGCTGTCTTGCATCATTAGGTAGCACATGTTTGCCCAAGGTGCCTATCAATGTGGAAAATGGCTGAGAAAATTTGAAAAAGTAAAGCAGCAAGCCATTTCTTCTAAGCAATGTTTTCCTCACAATAATGTGATCTTAAAACTGGGTTTGCTCCCTGAAAAGCTGTCATATTCATATGTGATGTGACACCAATCATACTATATTTGCTATCCATCTTAATTTGATGCTTGCTAGTTTTTGTGCTTCCCAGGTTTGTGTAATGGTGATGCATATTGTACTGTGTCATTGCCTTAGTAGGTACATTTTGGCCAGATATAGGCAGATGATATAACATCCAACATCAGAGATGGAGCTAGGAACCAGGGTGACAGGGAATGTGGCCCTTCTCATTTTCATGCCTTTGGGATTGTGTGGTGATCAGTGTGAGGAATGAGCTTCAAAAACAAGTTTGACCCTGCTGTGTATCAGCTTCATCTGTGGCCTAGTTCTAATTGCATTTGCCATATAGTTAAACAATATTATTGTGGTTGGTGCAATGCATGGCTGTCTCTTGTTTCTTTCAGTAGACCTAAATCTAACTGTACAGTACTGCTGATATGTTAGTGCTCAGATTATGTTCACATAATGAAACATTGAAGCATTGGATGTGCATGATGCAGCTAGTCATTTTTGGAGCTGGATATGTTAGTCTCAATGTAAAATCAACCTGGGTTCAGGTACATTGGTTCCCAGGTTGTTTGCCCTGGTTTGCTGGAATGCTCCCAGTTCAGTCTCAGCCATATATCCATTTTAAGTACCATTGCTATGCAGTGCCACCTTTCCTTATATTATGTGCTACAGCTACATTGAGGGATAACCTGATACTGCCATTCCTCTCAGCCCATGGTATTCAAACCTGTTGTTGACTCATTAAGACAGGTGCTATTGCTCTCAATTTGCACAACATTTTAGCTGCCCTGTTAATGTATGCTTTATCATGAAATATTGCAAGAAACAGTTCAAGACCAGATGCAAAATGTGATAAGAGTTAAATATGGGATGGCAGGGATTGTCTTCAAAAACTAATAAAAATGATAAAAGGAGCTTTAGAAAATTGGTGTGTTGATGCATTGCTTGTGCACTAGTTCCAAAATGTCATGTGGCTTAAAAATTCCCTGGCTATAGGTGTGGGTTGGTGCAGAAATCTAGTCACCCAGGCTTGTGAGTTCTACCAGTTCTGGTAGCTATGAGAATGCCTTATGAACAGTAAGATGATAATGTTGGGCTGATATTGATGACCATGCATTGGCATTCAAGCCTATGTGATTTGCATAGCCCAGTGTTCTCTCTAGGTCATCACGTGTGTTGAAGATGGGTTTGAGAAAAAGTGATGTTGGCCATTTGATTGATTGCTGATGCACCTGTGGGTTGACCAGTTCTGGGGTCCCTTATGAATTGTGGGTGCTATGCACACATGCTCATTTCAGTAGTTTTCAGGTCGGTATGCTTGGTTAGTCACTGTCATGCATCAAATCCTGAAAAGCAATGTCAAGCAGTCCAATCTGTCTTTTTCACTCAATGAAGGCTTGTCAGCTGCACTCATGCACCCATACATCTGCCAGGACAGTTGTGAGATCTCCCATGGCTCAAAATGGGTTCATCTCACATTGCTGGATGCTGGGTCATGAGGATCTGGACAGAGTCTGGATCTGCATTATGTAGCTTTTCTACTGTCAGCAAAGTACACTTTTTATATTAATCAAGTGATGAAGGGATATTTTTGTGCGGTTCTCTCGTCGCTCAAAATGGGATCATCTCACATTGCTGGGACACTGGGTCATCAAGATCTGGACATAGTTTGGGCCTGCAATATGTAGCTTTTCTTCTGTCAGCAAACTATATTTTCATATGAATCAGATGATGAAGGGATATCTTTGTGCATTGCGCACCTTTTGCAGCATATTCATATATAATTGAACAACTAGTTTGTAAATACCTTTTTACCGCAAAGCCTTTAAAATAATTGGATCCATTGAGCAGATCTCTGAAAGCTACACTAAGTGTGTGGTTGCAAATTGTAAATGTTACTATCAGGCTGGGCTGAACTACTCAGGGAAATATTTATCTGTGTTCAAGTAAGACTTGCTTATCCTGCTGCATTGCTCATAGGAAACATGGATGCAGTATCACTGCAGCAGGAAAATAATTCTTATATGTCTCCATGGAAGCAAAGTTTTGATGATTTACCAATGATTTGAACTGTTCAGTTGCAAAGATAAGCCCTTTCAGATGTACTGAAAAGTATCATGTATGGGTGGTTCTTCACCCCCTCACAGTTTCTCTCCGCTATTTTATCCCTCACATTCTGTTTTCATTTTTGAAATATGTCAAAAGTAGAATTAGTTTCAAATAGTGTTGAGCTAGTGACTGAACATTTGTATCTTCAGAGACCTGACCCGGCTTGGCAAATGCATGCTGTTGATGGGTCTACATGTCAGCAACTGTAATGGTGCTACCACAATTCTTTGTGGGCAATGCTGTAATGTTGTCTTAATGATGATAGCAAAACAACTGCGAATGTGAAGAACACGGGTCGAAACCGAGGCCTGCTCTCGATAATCCGGACTTGCATCGGTGCAAGACTAAGGTCGTGCGGCGAAGAGGAGGGCGGGCAGTCGCATCGGCGAAAGTGGGAGTCGACATGTGCAGCCACGGCCGCACAAAGCACGGGCGCGGCAGACTCATCTTTGACGATTGGTGTCAGACCATGGTCTCCAGCTGGTAGATGAAGTGTAGGCGCGAAACTGACGGATTGGCGCGGGCGGTTGCATCATTCGCAGGACAGGAAACGAACTGAACACTGTCCTACCAGTAACGACGCCACGCACCGGCCGTGGATGGGAACCGACCACAATTGTAACCCAATGGGGGCCGAACGAGAGAGGCGTGCAGTCGTGGTAACGCACCTGGACAGTCCAGCTCACTGTTACCGATATTTGCCAAGGCTGTGGAGACCTAAACGCAGACAAATTTTTCAGCGATGTTGTTTGTAAGGTGGCGCGCGAACGCTTTGTGGTACAACCTGTGCTGCTAAGCTCGCTAAAGTCTGTATTCATTGCATTGAGGACACATTTGTACAGGCTCTTGGAAGTGTCCATCCCCTCATACTTTGATATTATCTCCATGTCAACAAGTGGAATAATGCATCATATTGCCCGGCCTTTCTGGTCACCTGTTTTTCTGTGTCCTGGAGCCGAAGAGGTGCGCTGTGCCATACCGTATGCGCCATCAGAACAGACAGCAAGCAAAACATAACTGGACAGCTTAGCCCAGATCAGCGATGTACTGCTACTGCTGCTAGCTACTGACAGTCACTGGTGTCGGCTGTGTCAGTAGCTAGCTTACAGTCGCCCTCGACTCTTGTTTCGAACCTCATGGACACCCCTGTGTTTCATTCTCAGCCGATCGTGGTTATGTCTGCTGAAACCATTTTGAGGTAGCGGCCAGGCACGTGGCGTGCTTGGTGCATTCCTTCGTTTCGTGAGCTCTGGGCAATTGGGCCGTTAAGTCGCGGTCCGGGACCGGTTTGGGGCATCCGTGTATACCAGTGCGAAATAAGCGCCCTGGGGCCCTTACGCGGCGATCTCTGCAACGCCCAGGGACGGAAGTTCACCGTCTTATGGTATTAATCTCAGGTGTATGCGCTTATTTGTCTGTTTGTGACTGCACACGCATTGTTCCTTTAGGAGCTGAAGAATATCAGTGATGCTTTGAAGACCCAAGAATACTATGCCTGCGCAGAGGGAGAGAAGCCCGTCAACAGGCGGAAAAATCGCTACAAGGACATCCTGCCTTGTGAGGACCTGAGGCACTCACCGACATAATGCCAGCGGCTTGCTTTGCCACAGTTTAGAGATACAATTGGGCAGCTTACTGCCGGTCTCGCTGCGCTGTGGAATTGATGTTGTCGCGTACACGGTCGAATTGTAAGATGTGTGACAACCAGAAGTTTGTCAGGACACGTCCTTGAAATGGCGGCGGGTGCCGCGGTCGACAGTCGATGTCTCATTAGCGGTGTTTGTCAGACGTTGACGGTGGGTGCCGTAATTGACAGTCGATGTCTCACAAGTGCTGCCTGGTGGTGTTTGTCAGGCTTTGATGGTGGGTGCCGTGCTCTGCAGTCGATGTTTCACGAATGCTGCCTGGCGGTGTTTGTCAGACGTTGAAGGCGGGTGTGATGCTCGACAGCCGATGTCTCACGAGCGCTGCCTGACGGACCGTTTGTCAGACGTTGACGGCGGGTACTGTGCTCTACCTGGCGGTGTGTTTGTCAGGTGTTGACGGCGGGTGCTGTATTTTGCCCGACAGCGTGTTTGTCAGACGTTGACGGCGGGTGCTGTACTCTGCCTGGCGGTGTGTTTGTCAGACGTTGACGGCGGGTGCTGTGCTCTGCCTGGCGGTGTGTTTGTCAGACGTTGACGGCGGATGCTGTGCTTTGCCTGACGGCGTGTTTGTAAGATGTTGACGGCGGATGCTGTGCTCTGCCTGAAGGCGTGTTTGTCAGATATTGACGGCGGGCGCTATGCCCAACAGTCGATGTCACGCGGGTGGTGCTCAGCGAGTTCCCGGGCGTGGCCGGGTCCGACTACATCAACGCCAACTACATCCGCGGCGCCTCCGGCTCGCCGGCCTACATCGCGTCACAGGTACGGCCGCCGTAGCTCTCCTCCCTCTCTCTGGCGCTGTCCTCGGCGGAACGTCAGCTGCACTCGGCCCGCTTCGCAGCCAGCGTGCAGTGATTGGCTATCTTTGCAATGTTGTGCCGTGTTGTTGCAATAGGCTGGTGCGAACAACTTAAATGAACATAACAGACGATAGTTTCATGTTATTCTGTCGTGAATAATGTGGTTGGAACTTTTTTCTCTCATGACTCATGGTTGGTCTGCTCTAAAGCACCAATAAACAACAATAGCAAAAGCAAAGCACTGCCGTTAGTGAATGACCTGCCTTTTAAAAAACGGGTTCCACGATGCAACTCCGCTTTGTGGGGCGTCTGGACGAGGCCGTTTTATTAGGGCCCATTGGTGACCCTTTGTCGTGTCGTCGGTCTTACGCGCCGAACACCACTAACGGCCGGCCCAGCGACTGATGGGCTGTGCGCTGCTGGCGGCTGGCCCCAGCGGCTGACGGGCTGGGCGCCGCTGACGGCTGGCCCCAGCGGCTGACGCGCTGGGCGCCGCTGACGCGCTGGGCGCCGCTGACGGCTAGCAGCGTCGAGCGGAGCGACACGCGCCGCTGACCGGCGGCGGCGTGGTGCCGGCAGGGCCCGCTGCCGCACACGGTGGCCGATTTTTGGAGGATGGCTGTCGAGTGCGAGGTGCAGGTGATCGTGATGGCCTGCAACCAGACCGAGTCTGGCAAGGTGAGACTACGTGACACCGCGCCACACAGGCGCCGGTGGCGACGATCGTGCCTCTTCTGGAAGGTGTAGGTCACTGTGACAGCGTACGCGTACTTGATATGTTAGCGAAGTCTGTTTCGGTGGTCATGCGAGCTGTCTAGTTACATAGCCGCCCTGAAGTCAACATCGCCTATTGCGGAGCTGGCAGCGGCAGTGTTGGACGATTTTGCCGGTGGCATCGCTGCGAGTGCTTGCTCGGAGTAGCGCCGGTTGATGCCTCATCATTTTCCATCTCATTCGCTGCAGCTGCTACTGAGACCTGATCATAAAGAGTGAGACCAGTGCACGAGTTGAAATGCCTGTGGCCTGGTTAACACGTCGGACGGTGTTTTTTATCTGAGCATTTTGATGCGTACACTTGACGCGTCATTCACGTAGATTGCTCGCCGTTTGAACCCACTGTCACAGCGTGTTTCCGGCACCCGTCTTATGCAGTCTTCCTTCGACATTTGTATGGGGCTCTGTGCATGTTTGGTTCCGGGGCGGTCGGTCGTTGATGTTATAGTGTAACAGATTCGACATAATGTGTCGAATCTGTTGGGGTAGATGGACATGTTATGTCTACCTACGGCCATGGGTTCGTCTTATCCAAGTGTTCATTGACTGTAGATAGGACGTATGTCGTATCGTAAGGCTTGCTGTAGACTGTCCGTTTAGCATTAGCATTAGCATTTCTAGCTGGTATATCGAGTAGCCTGCTTTGTCGCAATAGTTGGTAGAACCTCCGGATGTAGTATCAGTCCATCTCCCCTGTCCGGGCCGCGTGACGACCTGGCCGCCAATGGTATGGCCCCGCCCCGCCCCGCCCCGCCCCGCACGCGCTGACCGCTACCGGTCCGGCCGCAGCACAAGTGCGAGAACTACGTGCCGGAGTGTGAGGGCGAGCGGCAGGCGTTCGGAGACGTGACGGTGACGCTGAGCCAGAGCCGTCACGTCTGCCCCGACTTCACCGTCCGCAAGCTGATGGTCCGCTACACCGGCACCAGCGGAACCACAGGTGACCGGCGGCCACGGCACGCGGCCGGCGGTCCGACTGTCACGGCGTCCGGCCGGCGGCTCGACCGTCACGGGACGAGGCTGGCGGTCCGACCGTCACGGCACTCCGACCGTCACGGCGTCCGGCCGGCGCTTCGACCGTCACGGCGTCCGGCCGGCGGCTCGACCGTCACGGGACGAGGCTGGCGGTCCGACCGTCACGGCACTCCGACCGTCACGGCGTCCGGCCGGCGCTTCGACCGTGACGGCGTCCCGCCGGCAGTCCGACCGTCACGGCACTCTGCCGGCGGCGCGATTGTCTGCCGCGCTGTCTGGCTCTCTCCACCACAATGTCTCTACCCCCATCACTCTCACTGCCCCACCTCCGCTAGTCCTGTCGTTTTGACGACCTGTAGATCCGTCTGCCTATCTGCTTAGTTTGTGGGTCCCTAGACTATCTCCATCACTCTCACTGCCCCACCTCCGTTTGTACTGTCTGTGTGACGACCTGTAGATCCGTTTGCCTATCTGCTTAGTTTGTGGGTCCCTAGACTATCTCTATCACTCTCACTGCCCCACCTCCGCTAGTCCCGTCGTTTTGACGACCTGTAGATCCGTCGGCCTATCTGCTTAGTTTGTGGGTCCCTGGACTGTGGTTCGAATGACTGCTGGAAGGCCTTAGCTATTGCCTCGATGAGTGTTTGGAATCCTGCACCATTGCTGGGTGGACTGTATTGACTGTCAGACGGTCGGTGATGCGTGGGTTCATGACTAGGTCCCAGACCCGTTAGCGGCGACGGCTCTTGACTGGCTGGGGCGACGGGCGCCCTGCCGGCGCAACGGCCGCTGCGCGCGGTCTTACCGCCTGACCGTCGGTCTTCGCCTGTCCGCCAGAGGAGCGCGCCGTCTGCCAGTTCCACTACTCGGCCTGGCCGGACCACGGCGTGCCCAGCTCGGTGGTGCCGCTGCTGCGCATGATCCGCATGCTGCGCGACACGCAGGCCTCGGAGACGCTGCCCGTGCTGGTGCACTGCTCGGCCGGCTGCGGTCGCACCGGCACCGTCTGCGCCATCGACTACGTCTGGGGACTGCTGAAAGCCGGCGTACGTGGCGGCCCGGGCCGGCCTCCCTCGGCCGTCAGCGGGACGGGCGCGAGGCGGATGGGCGCCCCGCGGCCAGGCGCGACACCCACGCTTGCGTGCGCTGTGGCTCCGTGCGAGCATCGTCCTGGTCGCCGTATGGCGTCTGAGCCTTCTTTGGGTCGTCTTGGTCACGCTCTGTAGACGGACTGCTGTCAACTGCGTGGATATGTGGGGAGTGAACGAGCCTGTACGCGTGCCTGATTGGATGGCTCCAGACTTGGCGAGCCAGGTGCGGCATGTCGGTGTCTGAGCCACGACTGTCTTGCCGTGCTGTAGGTGCACCCATGAAACCCAGAACGTGGTGAGCTGTCACAGCACGCGTCGGTGTTATGCAATAGTCTAAGCGTGCAGTGACCGAGCGTGCCTCGATGGACCGGCCGCCAGCCCTCTCACGTATGCAGAGTGCGCTTCGCCTGACGGCACCGTCCCGCTTCTGCCGCTGCAGAAGCTGACGCCGGCCTTCAACCTGTTCGACCTGGTGGCCGAGATGCGGCGCCAGCGGATAGCCATGGTGCAGACCAAGGACCAGTACATGCTGGTGCACCGCGCCGTGCGTCAGCTGTTCCAAGACCAGCTGCGCATGATCGAGTCGCATCCGTACGCCAACGTGGACATCGCCGGCAAGCCGCTGAGCGGGGACCGGACGACGCGACCGGCCGCCAACGACGGCGACTACGAGGAGATCTGCCTGGCGGAGGGTCAGTGGCAGCGGCGTCGGCCGGTGTTGCCCGCCGGCAGCGAGGCGGGGGAGCGCCGGGAACGCTGTCGGTTGTCGTGCAACCCCGCACGACGCGCCACGGGCTACCCCGGGTGGGTTGGGAATGACGGGAACGGACCTGTGCAGCGTTCTGGTCTGGTGTTCTTTTGATGTGAGCCTGTTGTGGCGACGAGCTGCGGGACTTGGGAGCGATTAACGGGCTAGGTTTCCGGTGGGCAGCTGCTGACAGATGCGGCGCTGTGGCGTGTTGCAGACCCATCGCCGCCCGCACAGAAGCGTCCGGCGCCGTCGCCCCCGCCTCAGATCAAGCCGCCGCGCGCAAGAAACGCCCCTCGTACCCGCGCCCGGGCCGCCGCCGCTGCCCCTGAAGCGGCGGGCGCCGCAGCCCGAGCGGCATCGGAGCAGCCGGCGGCGGCGGCGGCGGCGGCGGTGCAGGACGTGGCCGGCGTGAACCGGGCCTTGCGCCGCCGTCGGCCGCGCTCGGCGGCAGTCTGGGACCGGCCACCGGCCGGCGGGCCGACGGGCCCGCCATGGACGACGGACAGCAGCAGTACGCCCGGCTCGCTGGACCGGGCCGAGGCAGGCCGGCGCTCCAGCGTCGGCCGGCTGCGTCAGGTGTTCGAGAGTCCTGCCGAGCCGGCGCCGCCGACCGCCCGGCTGGCACGCAGCAAGAGCAGCGCGCTAATCCGGCCGCGGCCGCCGGCCGGCCGGCCGCGCACCGGCAGTATCTGCGTCGCGCCGCTGCAGCTGCACGTGCCGCGCGGTCGGCCGCAGGAGCCGGCCCGGCCGGCGGCGACCGGCGACGTGCGGCCGGTGCCGGCGGCGGCCTGCGCGCCGTCGCCGCCGCCGCCGCCGCGGGCCGCCGACCGGCCAGCGCCGCTGCCTGAGCGGCGGCCGATCCTGCCGATCAAGCGCAGCAAGTCGCTGAAGGTAACGGCGCGGCCGCTGCGCGTGCAGCCGCGCCAGGGGCCCGCCTACCTGGCGCTGGAGAACGCGCCGAGCCTGCATTTGCAGCCGTGGTCTGTGCCGAACCACGCTGGCCCCGACCGACCGGTCACCGTCGAGCTGGCGCCGGCAGCGCCGCAGGGCCCGCCGGCGGGCGGACCGACAACCCGCCGCCGGCCGGGGCGCCGCGCCGCCGGTCAGCGCCGCCCGGCAGACGGCGCCGACGCCCGCCAGCCGGTCGGCCGCCGCCGTCCGGCCGCTGTACGTGAACGTGTCGACTCCGCTGTCGAGGCTGGCGCTGTCGCCGGCGGGCAGCGGCGGCTCCGGTGGCTCTCCGCCGCGCCACGTCAACATCGCCCTGCTGCGCCAGTACGAGGAGGAGCTGGTGCAGCGCAGCCGCGAGCTCGGCCTCAACGACACGCTGACGGAGGAGCAGCTAAGCCCCGCGGCGCCCGCCGGCGGCGGCGCCCAGCTACCTGGCGCGCCTCGAGGAGCCGGCCGGCCGCTCTTGGGCCGGGCCGCCGCTGCTCAGTCCCGCTCTGGTCACCTCAGTGGCGTCTATTGGTGGCGGCGGTGAGCCGCAGTACGCCAACGTTCCTCATTGGCCGGGTCGGGGCGCGGCCTGCAGCGGCGGTCGGAGCGGCCCGCTCCGCCGGCGCGCGAGGCCGATCCGACCGCCAACTACCCCCAACTGCACGCCCGAGGCGCGCTTCAACCTGCGCCGCATCGAGACCGACCTGCTGCGCAACCAAGCGCAGCGGCATCTGCGACGCCAGCGGCGACACGGCGAGGGCGACCTCGGTCGACGAGGGCCGCGTCAGGTCAGCGGACGAGGCTCGGCTCCGACCCTCGGACGACGGCCGCGCAAGGCCAGTGGACGAGGGGCGCGCCAAACCGGCGAACGAGGGCCGAGGTCGACCCGTGGACGAGGTCCGAGTCCGACCCGTGGACGAGGCCCGAGTCCGGCCCGTGGACGAGGCCCGAGCCCGGCCCGTGGACGAGGGCCGATCCCGACCCGTGGACGAGGGCCGATCCCGGCCCGTGGACGAGGGTCGAGCCCGGCCTGTGGACGAGGCCCGAGGCCGGCCATTGGACGAGGGTCGAGCCCGGCCCGTGGACGAGGCCCGAGCCCGGCCATTGGGCGAGGTTCGAGGCCGGCCCGTAGACGAGGGTCGAGGCCGGCCCGTGGACGAGGGTCGAGGCCGGCCCGTGGACGAGGTTCGAGGCAGACCCATGGACGAGGGCCGAGCCCGGCCGGGGGATGAGTCGGCTGCCGGCGGCCAGCGGGCGGCGGCGGCGCGGGGCTGGCGAGTCCGCGAGCGTCGCAACAGCTTCCGTCAGGCGGTAGAGGGCGGCGAGCCGGGCGGCCGGACGGCCCACTACGAGACGGTCTGGGGCGGCGCCGAGCGGTGGCCGCCTGCAACTCGCTGCCGCCGGCCGGCGCGCTGCTGGCAGCCGCTGCCGTTCTCGGGCCGCGCCCCCGCCCCACCGTCGTGCCCGCTTCCAGCTACATCGTGCAGGGCGACGGAGGCGAGGGATCGGGCTCGCCGCGGTCCATCGGGAACTCGCTCTTCTGGTCGGACGGGGCCGGCCGCTCCGAGTCCGTCACCGCCGCCACCGCCGCCGGCGTGCCGAAAGCGATGGCCAACTCGGTGTTCTACAGCCCGACGCCGAGCCCGCCTGGCCGCTCCACCAGCCTCAACGTGTCTGAGAACTCCGCGTTCAAGCCGTACCTGCCGGACAAGGCGACCAGCCCCAACTACGCCACCATCTACCGGCCCGACACGGGTGAGTGGGCTGGCGGCAGTGCTGCTGTTACTGCTGCGCCCTCCTCCGTCCTGGACCAGCCTTTCCAATGGCGACCATGCTGGTACCATCACCGGAGCCAGTATCTAGTGTTTGTATGCGTGGCTGTCACCAGCAATTCTTTCTCCTCGGTGATGACTGCAATATTGCAGACCGTGACAACAGGGAAAGGTGGCATGGGCTGCAGCAGGGGCGGACTGCAGTGATTTGCACTGTGGCAAAGAGAATCATGGGCATTGTAAGCTGCAATAATAGAGGGTCTGTCGGCGTCACTGATCCCTCTGACCCGGTAGCCGCTGCGCAAGCCCACCGACCATCCGCGCTGACGCTGACCCGGTGTCCGTCGGCCGCAGGGGGCGCGGCCGCGCCGTCGGGCGCCGCGCAGGAGGAGGCGCGCGCGGACGGCGCGCGCTCGGCTGACTCTGTGGAGCGCGGCCCGGTGGCGCCGCCGCGCAAGAGAGGCGGTTCGGGCCTGCTGCTCAGCCGCCTCAGCGTCAGCCAGCCGCAGCTGGTCGGCCCCAGCCACCGTCAGTACCCGGCCACGCCCGCTGCGCCGCAGCCGCCCTGTGGGGAGGGCGCACCCAGGGGCCCACAGGCGCGGCCTGATCAGTGTCGGTGATGAGGTCCTCTGCTTTAGAACCTGTCTGATTTGCTACCCTGCCTCATGATTACCTTTCTTAGCGTTGCCTGTGGCAACGTTACTCCCCGTCGCGTTACCTCCCGATAACCCCAAACTAACATCTGCATCGCCCTAGCCATCCGATCACCAGCGTGCCAGAACATGGCCGTGGGATGCCGTGTGTAGCGAACAGCAGTGCACCGGGCTGTCGAGGGTGACCGTCTGTGGTCCTGTGCAGTACCGTCTGTGGTGCCTGGACCCGCCACACCGGGCTGTCGAGGGTGACCCTCTGTGGTCCTGCACAGTACCGTCTGTGGTGCCTGGACCCGCCCCACCGGGCTGTCGAGGGTGGCCGTCTGTGGTCCTGTACAGTACCGTGGGTTGCGTCTGGACCCGTCACACCGGGCTGTCGAGGGTGGCCGTCTGTGTGGTGCTGTTCAGTACCGTGGGTGGCGTCTGGACCCGTCACACCGGGCTGTCGAGGGTGGCCCTCTGTGGTCCTGTACAGTACCGTCTGTAGTGCCTGGACCCGTCACACCGGGCTGTCGAGAGTGGCCGTCTGTGTGGTGCTGTTCAGTACCGTGGGTGGTGTCTGGACCAGTCTGAAGTGACCGGGACGCCAGGCTGTGCGGTGCGGCGTGTGACGTTCGGTGACGCCGGCAGTGTTTCTGACTGACATCGAGCTGGACGGTGGCGGCCGGGACTCGGACACTGAGTCACTGCCGCCGGCTGTTCCCGAGAAGACGCAGGCCGCCTACCAGATCCCGACGCCGGTCTGCGAG